CTCTGCGTGCGGTCGTCGTAGGCGGCGTCCCACCGCCGCAGGAGCTCGGCCAGCACCGGGTGCTCGGCCGCATATGCGCCGGCGGCCAAGTCGCGCTGCACCGCGCACCGCAGGGCCTCGCGCCGGTACCGCACCGCGTGTCGTATGCCGAAGCCGTACTCGGCCGCGTCCTCGAACAGGGAGTGGCCCCAGGCCGGGCCGTGCCCCCGCTCGTTGGTCGTGTAGGCGCTCCACGGGAACATGCCGCCCCACACGATCGAGCAGCCGGTCGCGTTGGCGATGTAGAGCTCGTCGCCGAACAACTGCGTGAGCAGCTTCACGACGGGCGTCTCGCCGCAGCCGGCGCACGCGCCGCTGAACTCGAGGCAGGGCTTGGCGAACTGGCTGCCCTTGAGCGACTCCTTGGGGTAGACCTCGCTGCGGATCGGGAGGCGCTCGGCGGCAAAGTCCCACAGGCGGGCCTGGCCGCGGTCGAGCGCGTCGACAAAGGGCACCTGCGCGAGGGACTGCGTGGGGCAGGCCTTGACGCACACGTCGCAGCCGGTGCAGTCGTAGGGCGACACCTGCACCCGGTACTGGTAGCTCTTGCCGGCCTTGCCCACCGCCTTCCGCCCCTCCCACCCCTCTGGCGCCGATCCCGCTGTGTCGCGACATCCACCCATCATGACGTCAGCCGTGTGTCGTTGGTCGTGTGCGTGTGTGTGCGCGCGCTCGCGTGTGTGTGTGTGTGCGTGTGCGCGTTACCTTCTTCTTGGGTGAAGAGGAAGGGGCGGATGGCGGCGTGCGGGCAGAGGGCGGAGCAGAGGTTGCACTGGGTGCAGGTGTCGGGGTTGGTCCACTGGGCCACGGCCGGGGCGATGCCGCGCTTCTCGTACTTGGAGGTGCCCGACGGCATCGCGCCGCGCGGGTCGAACGCGCTCACCGGCAGGCTGTCTCCCTCCATCCGCTGCGTCGGGCGGAGCACCTTGCGCAGCTGCTCGGGCGCGTCGGCAGGGTCGGGAACGATGTAGTCGGCCACGTCGTCCCGGCACTCGGCCCACGCGTCGGGGTAGGCCACCTCGACCGTGCGCGCGAGGCCCTGGTCCAGCGCGGCGTAGTTGCGCTCGAGCACGTCGCGTCCCTTGCGCGCGTACTGGGCGTCGATCACCCGGCGCAGCTCGGCGCGCGCGACGTCGAGCGGGAGCACCTCGGAGGCCTTGAAGAAGGCGGCCTGCATGACCATGTTGATCCGCCCGCGCAGGCCGGCCTCGTGGGCGATGGCCGTCGCGTCGACGTTGATGAGCCGCGCCTTGCGCCGGGCGATGCGGCGCTTGACAAAGTCCGGCAGCATGCGGTCGAGGTGGGCCACGTCGTTCCACGGGCTGTTGAGGATGACCGTGCCACCCTCCTTGAGCGGGCCAAGAAGGGAGGGGAACTTCTTGAGGTAGGGCGTCGTGTGGACGGCGATCAGGTCCGCGTTCTGCACCTGGTAGGTGCTGTTGATCGGCTTCTCCCCGAACCGGAGGTGCGACACTGTCACGCCGCCGCTCTTGTGTGCCGAGTACGCGAAATAGCCCTGACCATACCTGTGGTACTCGCATGCGTGTGTGCGTGTGCGTGTGCGTGTGCGATCGAGGTTAGTTGAGGCTTGAGGAACGAGCGTTCCAGAGTGTCGTACATGTTGGAGTTCTCGACGATGAGCTTGATGGCCTCTTCGTTGGCGCCGACCGTGCCATCGCCACCGATGCCCCAGAAGATGGACTGCTTGGTGCCCGCAGGCAGCTACAAACAACGAGCGTCAGGTCACATGCGTGTCATGTGCGTGTGCAGTCTTGCGTGCGCTTGCGCGCGTCGTGTGTGCGGTGGTGCATGGTGCGTACAGTGTCCGGCTCTTCAGTGACGGTGAGCGACTTGTGCGTGACGTCGTCCTTGATGCCCACCACGAAGTTGTGGAGGGGTTGGTCCTGCTTGAGGTTCTCAAATATGGCCAGGGCCATGCCGGGCGTGAAGTCCTTGCTGCCCAGGCCGTAGCGGCCGTTGACCAGCTGCACGTCGCGGCGGCCGCCCATCATGAGCGACGTGCACACCTCCTGGAACAGCGGGCCGCCGCTGGCCAGGTAGTCGCGCACGCGGTCGATCACCGCCACCTTCTCCACACTCTTCGGCAGCGCGTCGACCAGGTGCTTGATGGAGAAGGGTCGCCACAGCCGCACCTTGATCAAGCCCACCCGCTCGCCCTGCGCGTTGCGGTGGTTGACGGCCTCCTCGACTGTCGACACGCTGCTGCCGCAGGCGACGATGACGTGGCGCGGCTCCGGGTGGCCGTGGTAGTCGAACAGGCCGTACTTGCGGCCCGTCAGCTTGTGGACTTCGTCCAGGTAGCCCTCGACCACCGGCAGCACGCCGTCGAGGATCGTGTTGGCGGCCTCGACCTGCTGGAAGTAGTGCTCGGGGCCGTCGATGAGCCCGCGCAGGTTGGGCGTCTCCGGGTTCATGCCCCGCCTGCGGAACTGCTCCAGTGCCTCCTCGTCCAGCAGCTTGCGCATGTCCTCGTACTTGATCGGCTCCACCGTGTTGATCTGCACCAGAGAAACACCATCAATACCATCGCACACGCACACACGACCGCACACGCACGACCACACATGCACGACCGCACACTATGCGTCGTGTACCTCGTGCGAGGTGCGGAATCCGTCGAAGAAGTGGACGAAGGGGACGGAGGACCTGATGCTGGAGAGGTGGGCCACCAGGGCGAGGTCCATGGCCTCCTGCGGCGAGGCCGAGGCGAGCATGGCCACGCCGGTCTGCTTGACCGCCATCACGTCCGAGTGGTCACCGTAGATGCTCAGGCCCTGGCCCGAGATGGCGCGCGCCGTGACGTGGAACACGGCCGGCATGAGCTCGCCGGCCACGCGGTACAGGTTGGGGATCATCAGCAGCAGGCCCTGCGAGGCCGTGAACGTCGACACCAACGCGCCTCCCACCGCCGCGCCGTGCAGCGTGCCCGCCGCGCCCATCTCTGACTGTTGGAAGAAACAGAAAAAGTCAGCGTAAGCGAGTCTATCACATTTCATAACATACAACATAACCACACGACCCTGTACGTGTAGATGTCATGTGTCTGCGCGTAGAGGGAGAAGAGTACCTGCATCTCGATGACCCGCGGCGTGTTGCCGAAGGCATTGAGCCGTCCCTCGGCCGACCACTTGTCGGCCAGCTCGCCCATTTGCGAGGAGGGCGTGATGGGGTAGATGGCGTGGATGTCTGTGTGCAGCGGTGCAGAGGGAATAAGAAATAAACAAATAAAAACATAAATATAAATACAAATATAATAGTACATACCAGAGAGGCCGTAGGCCACGTGTGCGGCGGCCGTGTTGCCGTCCATGGGCACTGCGCCGTGCAGCCTGCGTAACGGCCCCGCAGTCCATCGGGGTGTGGACAGCGCTCGCAGGGTGCCTGTGGGTGGGCGTCAGAGTGCACCGGGGGGGGGGGAGCAATCGAATTGCTGAGGCGTAGAAAAGTACCAGCACTGCTGAGAGGGAATGTGCGCTGGGCCACGATAGGCCTCGTATGTCGTGCGAACAGGCGGTTCATGCTGTTCTAGTACTCTTTAATCTTAAGAGGGGGGGGGGCGAGAGGGCGCAGCTGCGGATGCAAGCAGTCAGTGCTGGAGGATGGGAGGTGTTGAGAGGTCTTCCGCTTGAAGACTTTGTAGCCGTGGGTGGCCGACATGAAGCGGCCTGGTTGTTGGCGCTGTTGCATGAAGGTCGTGGAATTGGCGGGAATGGTAGCGGAAAACTCCACCAGTTCTGCGCGAACACCGCCCAAATTGTTTTCTTGATGTCATTTGCGATTGGCTCAAGCGTCACCAACCATCTTCTTCGTGGTTGGGCTCACTCACAGACGTCTGAGCTTGACCCCAGTTGCAGGGCGTAGCTTTTTCAAGAGAGTGTGGCGCGGCTGAGGTGGGCCTTGTGGGCTTCCGCGCGGAGGAACTGGGCCGTCTCAGCGCCCGTGCGAGCCACCAGCCGTGCGAACGCTCCCTCCTCCTGCTTGGCCAAGAGCTCCCACGGCGTCCCGTACTCCACCACCTCTCCCTCTTCCATCACCTGATTGGTGCACAAACAACAAGACCAGCATCAGCTCCATGACTAAAGAGCGGGGCTGGTAGTGGTTGTGGTTGTACCAGGATGCGGTCGAGGTCAATGACGGTGTGGAGTCGGTGGGCGATCACCACCACGGTGCGCCCGCCGAACTCGCGCCGCAGCGTCTCCTGGATCGCCCGGTCGGTCTTGTTGTCCACGCTCGCCGTCGCCTCGTCCAGGATCAGCACCCGGCTGTCCCGCCGCAGCAGCGCCCGCGCCATGCACACCAGTTGCCGCTGGCCCACCGACAGGTTGGCCCCGTTGGTCTCCACCTTGGTGGCCAGACCGAGTGGCAGACTCTGCACAAAGTCGCGCAGGTGCACCTTGTCGAGCGCATGCCACAGGGAGGCGTCGTGGTCGTCAGAGAGGTCCCCGTCGCCAGCCGCGGCGTAGGCGGCAAAGGGGTCGATGTTGGAGCGGATGGTGCCCGAGAACAGCACCGGGTCCTGCGGGATGATCGACAGTGCCGACCTCACCTGATGATTCGGCAGTGTGACAATATATTAGTGAGTCATCAAGACAAGACCGCCCAGCCAGAAAGAGCAGAGCGGCACCTGGTGGAGCCCGAGGGTGCTGATGTCTCGGCCGTCGATGCAGATGGCACCGTCGTCGAGTTCGACCAGGCGGAAGAGGGCGTTGATCAGCGACGACTTGCCCGCCCCGGTCCTCCCCACCACGCCCACTGTGCGTGTTGCCCAGCCCCCAACGCGGTGAGGCTCTCACATACGTGTCGGCAGGCCCTGCCAAACCAGAGCTACGTAGTACATACCTTTGTGTCGGGCTTCGATGGTGAGGTTGATGCCCTTGAGCACGGGCGTCAGGTCGTGGCGATAGCGCATCCACGCGTTCCTAAACTCGATGCGACCTTCGGTAGGCCACGCGGCCTCGCTGGTGTCGTCATGGGTATCCGCCTCGTGGTAGTGATGGCCTTCCTCCAGATCCTCCCGAGAGTCAAAGAAGTGCCTGTGGTCGTCATCGGCGTCGCCCGCGATCAGCCGTTTGTGCCGCGCGTCCCAGCGCTGGCCCTCGGCGAGCACAAGCGGGGCCTCGGGCGCGGTGTTGTTGGTGTAGTGGAGGATGCGCTCCACTCGGTTCATGTTGGACTCCAGCATGGTGCCCGATCGCACGAACCAGCCCAGATCTGAACACAAATCCACACCATCAACTCACTTCTCTTTCTCTCTCTGAGCCAAGGGGTGCCGTACTTTCGGTGATGCTGCCCGCCAGTGCCAGGACTAGTCCGACAAAGCCGCTGCTCACCGAACCCTTGGTGATCAGGCTCAGCACGCAGATGGCCACCACAATTGCCGCCCCGATCGCGTCCACTCGCAGAGCCAGCCAACTGACAGTGCGCGTACACCGCACACACCACACAAAGATGGTAATCTGCGAGTAACAGGTCGCGGGGCAGAATACGGCGTGTGGGTGTACCGGTGGGAGGTCGAATAGCAGAAGTAGGCTCGCAGGTTGGTGATGAGCAGGCCCTCATTCTCCTTCTTCAATAGGTGCTGGAAGCCGAAGGCTCGTATGGTGTCCAGACCCTCCAGAGTTTCCGAGTAGTGCGCGTAGATCGGTGCGCTAGTCAATGACTCCAGCCTGCCCAGCTCTATGTGGATGTGCGTGTGTGCGTGTGCGTGTGCGTGTGCAGTGGGTGTATGATCAATCCTCTGTGACAGTCACTCCATGCCGGTAGAGCAGTTGCAGTGGTACCACGGGAGGCCTTGCGGTAGTTCTGCATGACCCACCAGTAGACCGCCATGACGGGGACCGCGGGCACGAGGAACCACGGCAGCACGCCGCAGATCACCGCCAGCGTGGCCACCGATGAGAACAGGCACAGGAAGAAGTCCGATACCATGTCGGGGATCTCGCTGTCCACCGTGCCCTGGTCCTTCGAGAACCGCGTCACGATGCGACCCGTGGGCGTGGCGAAGAAGAATGACATGGGCGCACGAATGACCGCCTCCAGGAGGCGATCGTGCAGCTGGCGAGCGCAGTCGAGTGCGCTCTTGAACCATGCGAACTGCCTCACGAGCGCCACCACGCTCGCCGCCATGCCCGCCTGACATGCATTCATGGCCTTCGGTGAGCCCAATAAACGAGACACAGGCGGGTGGGTGCCCGTACCCCGAGGTAGATGCAGAGGTACAGGGTGGTGTCGGCCTCCTGTGCGTGATTGGACCAGTGGGCCAGCCACAGGTTCACGAACTGCGTCGCTCCCTGTTGTTTGTCGTTTGTTGCTTAACACACGAAACAAAGCAGAGCTGCTTCGGTGGAAGCGGTTGGTGGGGGCTTGGTGGGCGGACGAACCTCGAGACAGAGGGAAACGACGAAGAGGAACAGGAGGAAGGGCACGCCACCACATCCCAGCAGATATTCACCGTAGACCCTCCATTCCACAGCGCCCGTCTTCCGCTCCTCGTCGTCGATCAGCTTGCCCTTTTGCATCATCTCCTTATCATCCGATGCCGCCGAATGGACGTCGCCCTCGTCAACGATGTCATCGCCAGGGCCTTCGACCTCATCATGACCGCCGGCCATCATAGCTCGCTCATCCTCATCCTCGTTCTCGTTGTCTGCGCCTAGCTTCTTCTTCTCGAGCAGCCCCACGAAGTCGACTCCCTGCTCGACCAGCTACGAGCCACAAGGTGGATGGGTCGTGAGACTTCTTACTCAGGTCAAGGAAGGGGCGCAGAGGCGCGGAAACCTGGTGGTAGGTTCCCGAGGCTTGCACGGCGCCGTCGTGCATGATCAAGATGCGGTCCACGTGCGGCAGGTACTGCAGCTGATGCGTGGCCAACACTCGCGTCACGCCCTTGAGCTTGCCCGCGATGCACTCGAAGAATCTGTGGCCACCACCACCGCAATTTGGACGGAGAGTTTGTGCGTGAGCGACTAGAGCAAGACTGTATGGCAAGAATGCTGAAGGCGGCGGGTGGCGCACATGTGTTGCCCGACGTGGGCGTCCACGGCTGACAGCACGTCGTCCATCAACACGATCCTCGTACTGATGGAGTCGTTATGGCACAGACACGAGGAGTAGACAGCTCTGGCGAGAGAGATGCGCTGCTTCTGACCTCCGCTCAGGTTGACTCCCTTCTCGCCGATCTCCGTCAAGTCGCCCGCTGGAAAGTGAGAGTGATTCTTAGTTTACGCGAGAGGCGGGCCAAGGAAGCTAAGTGTCTCGTACCGGGCAAAATGCGAAGGTCTTCGGAGAGAGCGCACACCCGAATGACGTCGCGGTAGAGCTTAAGGTCAAAGGGCTGGTTGAACACAATGTTATCCTTGACCGTGGCGTTTCTGATCCACGCGCTGTGTTTTGCACGACACAAGCGCACCCCGAGTTTTGAGCTTCTCGTCACAGAAAAAGCAGAGGGGGAAGGGGGTATCTGTACCGCTGGCTTGCGTAGCTGATGTCCAGCTCAGCGCCACGGGTCATGCGACCGGCGGTGCGCTTCATCTCGCCCAGCATGCAGTTGAGCATGGACGTTTTGCCGCTGCCCACCGGACCCACGATGGCTACCAGTTCGCCATGCATCACCTCCACGTTGATCCCTTGCAGCTGGAACGACGCCGCAGCTTTCTGGTCTTCCGCCTCTGCCTCGGCCGACAGCAATTCTTGTACTTCGCTTGAATCAATGTCTGCTTGAATTGGTCGGTCGAGGAGAGGCCTGCTATCGTCGTTATCTTCTTCGCCTTCGTTATTGTCGTGTTCGTCTTCTTCCTCGAATTGTTCCCACTCGAAGCGCCCGTCCTCGATGCAGATCGCGGAGTCTGCTATGCGGCCGTCCTGATCGGGAGTGGTCGTGTCGGCGAGTTCAGGCAGTCGCAGGAACTTGTTGAGCCTCTTTAGCGACGTGTTTCCATCGGCCAACCAGGAGAGCATATTGGGAAACTGTCACACCGTCGCGAGTGACAACCAGAACGGAAAAGAAGACTACACTCTGCTGAAGAAGGAGAGGGGAGCGAGTACATCGAGGACGACCATCGAGAGCGATGCGAAGATGGAGAGCGCAGGAAAGATCTGGCTGGCGGAGAGTGTGTTCCCGAGAAGCACGTACACAGTGAATGTGCTCACAGAAATGAGCGTTGATAACGATAGCCTAATGAAGTGGTTATTGCGCTTGGTTAGAAATATTCCCGATGGGTGTGTACGTGGGCAAGGCGTACAGAAGAAACATGAAGAGGGCCACGGTGTAGAGAAGCCTCTTGACCTGAGACACCTCTCTGGCGCGTACTTCGCTGATCTGTTGTATAACCCTGTGCTCCCAACAGAATAGCTTAACTATGGACACGCCCTAATGCATGTCTTCGTCAGTATGGGAGTCTGTGTAGATGTGATGTAAAAAGAGGGTACATACTTGAAGCACTTCCGTGAGCTTCTTGATACGTTCGTCCCGCAACCTCATGATTGCCGCCGTCGCCGTTCCGAAACCGCTGGAAATCAACGTGTCAGACCAGCAGTAAATGAAACTACTTGTGGAGGTGAAGTGTTGCACGGACCTGCAGATCACATAGATGATCGGCGTCATGACGGCCACGATAGCCACCAGGACCAGTGAAGAAACGCCGAGCCATTTATACAAGAGAAAGAGCGACACTGCAGACGCGAGTGGGAAACGATGGTGAGAACCTCCAACAATCACCAACTTAAGTTCGAGACAGTTGGGAGGTACAAATGAACTGCGGCGGCTGGCTCACGGCCCGGTGCACGAACCAGGCAACCTTTCCAGCCTGGTAAACGGCGACAGACAACAGGTTGATACTGTGACGGAGAAAGGTGGGTGGGGACGTACAGTGGCCGAGTCGACATTCATCAAGTTAGTCGCGTTGCCCTTGGAGACGCGCTGAAGCCTGAGGCTCTTGCGGTAGACCATGGCCTGCAGCATCGACGATATCTGTTGAGTCGGTTTTGGATGATGACGACGACATCCCAGATCGGTGTTGAGTCAGTCTGAGTGAAAATCAGCGGTGAAGTCATGGGGGATCATTCGCACGTTCATGCCCACTCGCACGGAGGCGTAGTACCACCTCGCACGGAATACCACACGAGCAGCGAGGATACAGAGCACCAGCAGCACGTACATGAGACCTTCCCACCATTCAGCGTCCTGCACGCCCACACCAGCAAGTTAGGGCCAGCACGCACAGACTCTCGGGAAAGGGATGTCGGACCTTGGCGGACACAAACACGATGATCCAGGAGAACACGATGGGCAGGGCCACCTCGCACAAGCTGGCGATCAGTGAGCACAGGCACACGAACGAGTAATCCACCCAGACGATGGCCCAAATTGCTCTGCCACAGCACCAAGCTGATGGTTAGCAGTCAAGCGTACGCTCCGGCGCCGGCGGGCGTTCACATGTCGAGGCGTACCGGATCAACATCCAATAGGATTCGCTCATGTGCTTTCTTCGCATCCACTCGTGCTTCAGTTTGCGTTCCAGTGCCACGGGATTGTCCCGCGGTGCAATGTCGAACAAGTCGGTCATCTCTAGTGGTCTCACCGCCCCCACTGATTGATTCACATGTCGGGGTTGGACCATTAGTTAGCTCCGACAAGACTCCGCCATTGTATCCGCAGTACTTACGCCTGATCAACGGCGTCATCCAGGAGTAGAGCAAGCGGGAGACCAGTGACGCCTCCAGCTCCGGCAGAGGCCTAACACTGGCCTTCGTTGCGGGAGACATGTCGTCCTGGCCAATGATCAGTCAGCCCGCAACACAGCAAAAGCAACAAGCGAAAACAAGCGTACTGCTATTGGCTCCTCCATTACTGTACGCTGGTAAAAGTGGTGATTGGCGTCGCTAACAGCCGGCTAATGGTGGGGTTGGTGTCGACACCAAGTGGAGAAGTTTCTTGGATAGGGTTCTCGATGTGCC